TTATTATTATTATTATTATTATTATTATTATTATTATTATTATTATTGTTGTTGTTGTTGTTGTTGTTAATTATATCTTTAGTGAGATTCACAGCCTTTGGGGCTGGTTGGTAGCTCAACAGCTCAAGTCCTAACCAAGGACCTAGGATCTGTTCAGGTAGCATCGGAGGATATAAGCTGTTCCAAGTAGGGTGGTTTTTTGTAGAATCAGGGTATTCAAGTCTGATAAATTCAGGATTTCCAAATAGCGAGGCAGCCCTTTAGGTATTGCTCCAAGGGCTCCAATTACAATTGGGATAACACACGATTTCTTTTTCCAAAGTAGCTCAACTTCAATTTGAAAGTCCCGAAACTTTGTGATTTTTTTCTTGCTGCATATCTACAATTTGTGCATCACCAGGTATTGCAATGTCAATGAACCAAACCCTTTTCTTCTCAACTATTGTTATGTCGGGCATGTTGTGAGCCAAGTGCCTGTCCGTCTGAATTCTGAAGTACCACAAGATCTTGACTTTTTCATTCTCCAGAACCTTTTCAACCTGATGTTCCCAGTAGTTGTTACCATACTCAAATCCAAACTTTTGGCACAGTTTCCAGTGAGTGGTTTTAGCAACTCGGTTATGGCGTCCTAAGTAGCTATTTTTATTTATTATTATTATTAAGTAGATGATGATGATGATGATGATGATGATGATGATGATTCATTGCACAATCTGCCAGATGTTCAGATTGGGTTTGGGGCATTGTTGCCTACCTATCAAGTCCTTCCCAAGGACCTGGGATAGGCAGATCTGGATGTTTGACAGTGTTACAAATATTGTTGTAGGATATTCCAAAACTCTGCCCAGCCATGGTATGTTACAGGCTTCATTAAACCAGGATTGGGAGATAGGGGAAACCACGGTTTCCAAGAAGGATTGTGCGAATTGCATAGGAAGCAATTTTTTGCTGCAAGGGGAAAAGCACAACAAAAACAAAAAACAGACAGGATAGATTGGAGAGGAATTTTTTTGGCATCCGTTTATTCTTACAGCCTTTCTCCAACCCTGCCCTCCCCACAAATGCTTCAAGGATCTCAGTTTATTGGTAGTGGGGGGGGGCACAGCCATCCTATCTTGCCCCCCTCCCAAGCAATTCGAGGAAAGGAAGGCTGATTTCCAATGCTTCAGGTGGCATTAAAATGAGGAAGCCCACTCCCTCCGCAGCCCCCAGTATGTAAAATACATTTGGCGCCTGAAAGATGGACGGCTGCCTGTTTTAAATTACATTTACTGGGGAGTTGCTGCATAAATGAGACCCAGGATCCATTAGCCTTGCAGACAACTGTAAAAATAACAGCAGGCTGAACTTCATCCGTTTATCAACCCAGGCAGATAGGTTGAATACTTGGATGTTATTCAAGGTTAAACTTGGAAGTTATTCATGGTTTTATGTTTCCAGGCAAAATTAACGCCTCTGCTTCATATCCTGAGAACTATGTTTCACAACCTTGGGAACTTTAAAATGTGTGGATTCCACTTGCAGAATTCCTTGGCCGGTGTGTTTAAGATGTATGGACTTCAACTCCCAGAATTCCCCAGCCAGCATGCTTAAGATGTATGGACTTCAACTCCCAGAATTCCCCAGCCAGCATAGCTTACTCTCTTGTAATCCCTTCCTCTGCAATCTCTCCATTTTGGGAGATTAAGAAAAAAAGAAAGAAACAGACACGGCTGGCTGGAGAATTCTGGGAGTTGAAGTCCACAAGTCTTAAAGTTGCCAAGTTTGG